CCTCCTCCTGCTCCTCCTCCTCCTGCTCCTCCTCCTCCTCCTCCTCCTCCTCCTCCTCCTCCTCCTCCGCCTCCTCCCTCGCCGCCCGCGCCGCGGCCGCGACCCACAGCGCGCGCCTGCAGGCCCACACCCCTTCGAGTCACGACAACAAAATCACGACGGGGAGTTTTTGGCTATCCTCGGCGTCCGGGGGGCCCTCACCAGGCCTCGGGACCGTCAACAAAACGGCTCAGGGTGAGAAACTAGTCGCGGGGAATTGGCCCAGACCGCCGGAGGTCCACGTCATTCGAGTATACGGTATACGGAATCGACTCCCGAATGGATTTGCCCCAGCGTTGAGTATTAGTCGAAGCTACGACAAGACGAAGAACGCTCCTAGATCTACGAAACAATGCTCGTACGCATCGTAGCTTCGATTGGAAAGGCCCTTTCGGGGCATACCCATGTTGCAGTCGACCCCCGACGCGAGCCACGAGAGGTCATGACGTCGTGGGTCTGGGGCCTGCAGGGCCAGCAGGGTGAGCCAGCGCCCGGCCGCGCGCCAACTCCGGCGTCGCCGGCCCAGGCGTCGCGAGCGGTGCTCGCTGGGCAGCGCTCCCTGAGCCTCAGGCGTTGCATTCACCGCAGAGGGTCTTGAACGATGCTCCCCCCTTCCCCCTAAGTCGGGCCGGACGAAAGGGGGGGGAATTGGGAAAGGTGGGGCTACGGAATCTGCTGCATGCAGCGGGTTTCGGCCCCGCCGCCGGGCCCATTCCTCGATACTATGGGCGCCTCCCGGCGCCGGGAGGCGCGCGGGAAAATCAGCTGTGTGAGCTGATTCTCAAAGCCCCCCTTTGCTATCCCCCCCTTTCGCCCGGCCCGACTAAGCTCTCGGCGGGGCATCGAAGTTCGTCCCTCCTCCTCCTTCCCCGCCTTCTCCCCCCTGTGTGGTGGCGTGGTGTGTTTGGTGCGTGCCTCTCTCCCCCTCGCCTCTTCCGCGGTCCTCCTCTTCTTCTTCTTCTTATTGTGTTTCTTCTTCTTCTTCTCATTATTCTTCTTCTTATTCTTATGTTTCTTCTTCTTTTTCTTTGCCAGGAGGTGGAGGAGGAGGAGGCCGCCAGGCGTTGAGCGATGAGATTTTTGAGAACTTCTCTTGGCCTCTGAGGCCTCCGCGCTGAGATTTGCGGTGGCCGCCGACGGGGAATATTTCATTTTCACTTATCGTTGGGGTCCCAATCCGTCAATAAGCCCGTGACCAAAATTAACTAGTTTCCCGTTATTGCCTGGGTGTGTATTAAAGACCCTTCGGGATTAAGTCGGGCCTGTCCCTCGACAGGAGGAATATTCCAACATTGTTTTCATATCAAAAACTAGTCGGGGGCGATGTTTGGACCATTTCTGAACATGTTTGAGCATGTTTGGGGTATTTTGCATTTTTCGGTCACAAGCTGCCTGTAGGGGGACGCGCCCGACCCACGCACGCCTGACCCACGCCTGCATGTTCGAACTCACGGGAAGGACTGCAGCAGCGGAGCCAATCGATAGCACGCGCTCGAGATCGTCAAGTGGCCATGTGCTACGACGTCTCGGTTCCGGCGCTGGGGCCAACATAGTACACGCTCGAGATCGCCACGTAACCATGTGCTGCGACGTCTCCGTTTCGGCGCGGCGGCGCCCCCGCTGAACTCTTGGAACCCAGACCCCCGACGTCATGATTTCTCCATGACGTCGACCCCCAGAGATCTCGACCCATTCCCCGGGACCGGCTTTGCATCCCGATAGTCGGTTTCTGACGGTCCCGAGGGCCGGCGAGGGCCCCTGGAGGCCGAAAATTAGGGAGACCCGCCCGCCATGATTTTTTTCATGACTCGAGGGGGTCTGGGTCTTGGACGGCCGCCCCCCGGAGCGCACCTCGGCGCCCGCCCTCGTCGATCCTGCCCTGTCCTTCGCACCGGGCGTGCTAGTGCGCCCGGCCTCGGGCCGCGCGCGGGGCCCACTGCGGCCGGTCCGGCCCGGGAGGTGGCGGTCCGGCCTGGGAGGGGCCGGAGTCGGAGACGCATTTTTTGCACAGCGAATGCAAGCTGCTCATTGCCTCTTGCCTCTCTCGTGGCCAGGGGGTTGGGGCCCTGGCTCCTGCTTTCGCCCTCGCAAACACTTGAGAGGAGAAATGCTACAAGCAAGACGGGAAGAGGAAAAATGCTACGAGCAAGTCCGGCCCGGGAGGTGGCGCCTCGGAGGGAGGGGGCCGGAGGCGGAAACTAGATCACGCCAAAGAAGCCCCAATCCCAGACACCCGACGTAATGATTTTTTCATTGCGTCGACCCCCTGAGGTCCCGACCCTTTCCCCATGACCGGCTTTGCATCCTGAGTCGTTTTTTGACGCTCCCGAGGCCCGGTGAGGGCCCCCGGAGGCCGAAAATTAAGTAAAACCTGCCGTCATGTTTTTTTCATTACTCGAGGGGGTCTGGGATCCCAGACCCCCTCGAGTAATGAAAAAAACATGACGGGGGGGGGTCCGAATTTTCGGCCTCCAGGGGCCCTCACCGGGCCTCGGGGGCGTCAAAAAACGATTCCTCAGGATGCAGAGCCGGTCCTGGGGAAAGGGTCGGGACCCCTGGGGGTCGACGTAATGGAAAAATCATTACGTCGGGGGTCTGGGTACGCCAAAGAAAACCCCAGTCAGTGGATGGTTTGAAATGAGATCGATAAAGAGATCGACAGAAGGAGATCGACCAGGAACCCGGGAACCGGGCTTCCACCGAAATCGGCCCGGAACCAATGACCAGGAACCCGGGAACCGGGAACCCGGGAAGTTAGCCGGCCACCAAAATCGGCGGGACATTTTCGCCAAATCTTTCAATTTCCGCTCGGACCCTTTCAGTGCAAGCACTGATTGGGGAATCTACATTGCCAGTGGCCGGCTAGTCTTCGATTTGCAGACCCCCTCGCGTTGCGAACAAATCTGGACGGGAGGTCTGTCTCGGTTTTCGGGGCCCTTGCCGGGCTTCGGGGCCGTCAAAAAACGATTCAGGATAAGAAACCGGTCCCGGGGAATGGGTCGAGAACTCTGCATGAAATTATCACGACGTCGGGGGTCTGGGACCCCAGGACTCGTGAAAGTCGGGGACGACGTCGGGGTGGTGTGGTGCATCCGCATACACCAGGTTCCGCTTTCTTGTGCAAGTGTCAGCGCGGGGCTGGAACACAGCGTCGGTGTATAGAGCCTGTGCCCCTTCAGAGCTCCAGTCGTGAGTCTCCCCACATTGTTTTCCCGCGACGCCAGATCCCAGGGCCCTCGCGCCGCGAAGGAAACGAAGGCGGCGGAAGGTTCTGTGCTGCTCTCGGCCAGTCCACGGGGGGCCCTTCCGGTGCCTCGAGAGCGCCGGACCCAGACCCTTCACGAGGCCTTCGCGAGGCCCTCACGAGGCCCAGGCCCCACGAGACCCGGCCCCAGAGCACCCCGCATGAGGCCCAAGGGGCCCACGAGAGGCCCCGACACGGCTCGAAATGCCGCAGGCCCTTTGGGCCAGGACCACCTCTGATTTGGAACGCTCGACCCAGACCCCCGACGTCATGTCTTTTTCGTGGCGTCGACCCCCAGAGTTCTCGACCCATTCCCCCCCGGCCTGCTTCTCATCCTGGGCCGTTTCTTGATGGTCCCCGGTGAGGGCCCCCTGGAGGCCGAAGACATAATTAGCGGGACACCGTCCGTCGTGATTCTCTCGTCATGACCCGAGGGGCTCTGGGTCGTCGGCCTCTGTGGGCGCCCTCTTGATTGGGAGCGTCCGAGCGCGGCTCGTCAAGGATGAGGCAAGATAGCTTGTCCCCGGGAAGGGGGCCCATCGGGCCGGGCGAAAGGGGGGGATTGGGAAAGGGGGGGTTACGAAATTTGCTGCATGCAGCTGGTTTCGGCCCCACCGAGGGGCCCATTCTTCGATACATGGGCGCCTCCTGGCGCCGGGAGGCGCCAGGAAAATCAGCTACGAGAGCTGATTCTCAAACCCCCCCTTTGCTATCCCCCCCTTTCGCCCGACCCGAGCCCAGCGTCTGGGGAACCACGGCGCGCGCATAAGGCAAAAGAACGCGACGTCGGACGTCTGTGCTCTCGGGGGTGGACAGAACCCCCAACAGTGACACGTCGATGAGTGAGTTGTCCTTTTTCGGTCCTCGAGAGGGCGCCGCGGCCGTCATCTTCCAGGCTCGCGCCCGCCAGGTGTGGGCCTCGGGTCGTTTTCACTAAACCACGTTTTGCTAAAGGGAGGCCTGTCCATCCCCGATACTCTGGGGCGCGTCACAGGTCGCGGCACGCCGCTGCTTCGTCGCGCGGCCTCCCCGTTGTGGCGGGGGCGCCGTGGCCACCAGGGCAAGCACCGCCACGAGTCCTCGCCGTGGACGGCTCGTTGTTTTGTTTTGTTGAGGGGGGGCTGGGGCTGGAGGGTTTCTCCGAAGGGCTTAGGCGACCCGGGAACTCTTCTTCTCCTCCTCCTCCTCCTCCTCCTCCTCCTCCTCCTCCTCCTCCTCCTCTCTCCTCCTCCTCCTCGGGTCGCCTACGGCCCCGGGGGAAACCGTGCAGCTGGGGCCCCTACCGGCCTTCCCGGCGCCCCATACCCTGACCCGTCGGTCGACGAAAGGAAGTATGTTTTCGAGCTTCGGATCCCGATCCACCGAAGGCGCCTTCCTACTTGAAGAGTCGAGTGCTTCCGTCCTCAAGGGGCGGGCGGAAACCCCCCATCTCCTTCCAACGCCTTCCAGCTTCTTCCGACCGACAGATCGGATTGACATCACCATGTCTCGATGCCGATCTTGAAGATTCCCTCAGCTTCCGAGGGCGCATCCCTCAGGTGGTCTTCGCAGTTGGGCGCGTCAATCTTAGGGGTACGATTAGAAGATAACCTCAAGGCGGGTCAGGTGCTGTGTCGTTCTCCACCGCCCACTGCCGCGGAGGGCCGCTGCCCTGGGCCCCGGGGCCATGCCCAGGACGGGGCACGTGGTAGAGGCTTGCTCGACGGGCACCATCCCAGTAAGCGGCGAGAGCAAGCTGCGAGACGACGCACGAGAGAAGGCATGGTGGATGGACCCCCCACCGCCATTTCGGCTCAAGCCGCCCCCCTCCCCCCCCCCCCTTTTGGGGGGGGGACAGCACCGCCGCGGCTGGGGGGAGGGGGCATCCGCGCTGGCCTCGCCCGAGCGCCCCCCTTTGGGTGCCCCGGGGGATGGCACTGCTGGCGGCCGAGCCCCCGGGGGCGCTGCTCGAGGAGCAGGTGGCTGAGACCCAGCAGCTGCTCGGCTCGCTCATCCAGCGGCCCCCGCTCACGCAGCAGCGTCTGGCCCGGCCGCCAGTCAAGTACCTCCGCGACATCTTCGTCGAGGTCGCCGCGGCGACGGGCTGCGGCGCCGGCGTGTTCAGCAAGGAGGAGCTCGGATGGGGCCAGAAAGAGGATCTTCCAGAGCGGTCCAGAACGCTCTCAGAGCGTTCCAGTCTAAATTCTTGAAGCCTGCGTCTAAATCTAAGCCACGATACGATGTAAATTGCAATGTTTTCTGAACGCATTTGTTAGCACATTTAGACACGAATGTGAACATTCTGAGAAGACCGCGGCACCCGATACATCCTCCAAAGCCGTCGGATCTCAGAGATGCCCGATGTACCCGCACCCGAAATGATCCTCGTCCTGGTTTCGTCTCAGGAGCTGGAGTTCTCCCTCGCCTCGCAGCTTGCGAAGCTGGCCTTCCTGTCCGCGCTGGTGAGCTTCGTGGCCACGGCGAGCGGCGAGCCCGCGCTCCAGGACTCCGCCGGCCTCCGACACGTCGGGTGTTGCTGGAAGTACCCCTGGCCCAAGGTACTCCAGATTTCGTAATAAAAGGGAGGGGATCTGGACCCTCCAAGACAAGCCATTTCAGACCTCCCCCGTGGGAGAACCCTCCAAAAAATCGTCCCCAGACCCCCCAGGCCCTCCAAGATAGCCTGGAAGAGACCCCCCCCCGAAATGAGACCCCCCTCCCTTTATTACGAAATCTGGAGTACCCCCAGGATTCACGGGGTGGCCCAGACGGCCTCCAGGGCACCCCTCACGAGGCCAGAGGGCCCCCCAGGGGCTCCAAACTGGAGCGAAACGCTGGGGGCACCTTGGGCCACGGGCACTTCTAGCACCGCCCGAACATGGGGTCTGAGTATAGATGGGGTCGAAGGATCGCGCCGCCTCGCCGGTGCATCGGCGATGCAGCTCGACCGGGGCTCCAGAGCCGGGGGTCACTGCAAACGTTCAGTCGGGTCTGTCCCTCTCCAGGAGGAATACTCAAAGATACTCAAAAGAAGTATGGGGACTATTTTTTGAGCATTCTGTGAATATGTTTGTGCATTTTTGCAGTGTTTTTTATCAACGTGTCGTCCAAGACCCCCCTGTAGGGGGGCATGCCCGACCTAATACAAACGGGGGCCAGTCAGAGCGCCGGATCTTGCATGATCCTGCAGGGCCAGGGGTGCACTGACCCAGGCTTGGGCGCAGGATCTTGCAGGATCCTACAGAATCCTGCAAGGGCCGACTGGCCTGGGTCTGGATCGACCCGCAGTGCGTCCCCGGCTCGATGTGTGGAGCGCGAGTTTTTCCACGGCGACGTCGCCGGTGCATCGCCGACGTGCCGATGCATTGCCGAGGCATCGTTGATGTGAATTGGCGATGCGTGGCGATCCTCCGATCCCACCTGCTCGGGCCCCATCCCCAGACACGCGGCGTCCTGCTTTCTCCAATGCGCGGTCCCCCGAAGTTTCGACCCGTTCCCTGGGGCCGGTTGCCCCTCCCGAGTGGTTGTTGTCGGGGGCGGCCTAAGAGGGGGGTGATGTCTCGGGGGTGTGGGGCTCATGCTGGGGGCCATGAGATCTCCCCAGGTTTCATGGCGCCTCATCTCATTTCGTGACCTCCCCGGCCGCGCAGCTGCCGCCGGCCATGATTTGCACCCCCCCCGTCTTGGACGCCCCCCTCTGAAATTTGCCACCCCCGAGAAGTCCCGGCCCGTTCTCCGGGACCGGTCTTTTCCCCCACCCGAGTTGTTTTTGCAAGGCGCCGACGCCATGCTTCTAAGGGCCGCCGTGGGCCGAGCACGCGGCCGAATATCTCCCGCCCTAAGGTTTGTCCGCGCCGCGAGCTTGCCCTGGGTCTGCGAGGCCTCCTAAGGTCAAGTCGGGCGTGTCCCTCTACAGGAGGAGCAATCAAAAGCAGTCAAAACATGATCGGGGCGATGTTTCGACGAGTTTTGCACATGTCTGGGTCTTTCTCTGTACTGCTATGTTTGACCTGTCGTCCAAATTCCGCCTGTAGGAGGACATGCCCGACCTAACTCCCCAGACCCACGACGCAATGATTTTTTCTTGACGTCGACCCCCAGAGGTCCCGACCCTTTCCCCAGGACCGGCTTTGCATCCCGAATCGTTTTTTGACGCCCCCGAGGCCCGGTGAGGGCCCCCCGAGGCCGAAAATCAGGAAAAACCTCCCGTCGTGTTTTTTTCATTACTCGAGGGGGTGTGGGTCTGAGGACGTGGGCCCCTGAGGGCGATGCTTCGACTAGTTTTGCATAGGTCTGGGTATGTTTCTGTTTATTGCTATGTTTGACCTGTCGTCCGAATTCCGCCTGTGGGAGGATATGCCTCCTCCTCCTCCTCCTCCTCCTCCTCTTCCTCCTCCTCCTCCTCCTCCTCCTCCTCCTCCTCCTCCTCCTCCTCCCCTCCTCCTCCTCCTCCGAGGACGTGGGCCCCGAGGGCCTGCTGAGCGGCACGGACCCGGGGGCGGCGCACCTGGTCTTTCGCGGGCTGCACCGCGCTGCGACCGCCGAAGCCTGCCGGGGGCTGTGGCCGGCCGCCGCGCAGGCGCGGGCGCGAGCTACTCGATCGGCGTCTTGGCGATGTTTCGCGCGCCGTCTTCGCTCTGATCCCAGACCCCCTCGAGTGATGACAAATTCTTGACGGAAGGTTTTCCCTCATTTTCGGCGTCCGGGGGCCCTCACCGGGCCTCGGGAGCGTCCAAAAACGACTCAGGATGCAAAGCCGGTCATGGGGAATGGGTCGAGATTTCTGGGGGTCGACGTCATGAAAAAATCATGACGTCGGGGGTTTGGCATTTCGTCTCACAGCACATCCCCAGACCCCCTCGCGCACTGAAAACAGCATGACGGCAGGTTTTTCCCAATGCTCGGCCTCCGGAAGCCTGTGCCGGCTCTCGGAGTCGTCAAAAGCCAACTCGTGATAAGAAATTGGTCCAGGGGAATGGGTCGAGACCTCTGAGGGTCGACGTTTTGAAAAGCACATGACGTCGGGGGTCTGGGACTCTAGAGAGCCGACGCTCCAAAACAGTTGGAGCGGCGGATTCTGGGCCGTCCTCGGCCTCTGGGGGCCCTCGTCGGGCCTCGGGATCGTCCTGAAATAAGAGTAGCCAGCCCGATCAGGAAGTGGCTCGGGCCGGACGAAAGGGGGGGATTGGGACAGGGTGGGTTACGAAATCTGCTGCATGCAGCTGGTTTCGGCCTCGCCGAGGGGCCCATTCCTCGATACATGGGCGCCTCCTGGCGCCGGGAGGCGCCGGAAAAATCAGCTGCGTGAGCTGATTCTCACCCCCCCCTTTGCTATCCCCCCCTTTCGCCCGACCCGAAACAAGAGCAGCCAGCCCGATCAGGAAGTGGCCCCGACCTCCGGGCCCACGCCTCAAAAACATTGGAGCTCCCGGGTGTTTGGGAGGGGGAGGGGGGCGGGGATCGGCTCCTGAGGTGAGACACCATGGCCTGGAATCGACGTCATCGACGCGAATCGGAACGAGGGAGGAGGGAGGAGGAGGAGGAGGAGGAGGAGGAGGAGGAGGAAACATAGGAGGAGGAGGAGGAGGAGAGGAGAGGAGGAGGAGGAGGAGGAGGAGGAGGAGGAGGAGCGGAGGAGGAGGAGGAGGAGGAGGAAGTGGAGGGGGAGGGGCGGGGCGGGAGGAGGAGACGGGAGGAGGAGGAGGAGGGAGGAGGAGGAGGAGGAGGAGGAGAGAAATAGGAGGAAAGAAGCAGGAGGGAGGAATAGGAGGAGGAGGAGTGAGGAGGGCAGGAGCACAGAGGAGAAGGAGGAGGAGCAGGAAGAGGAAGAGGCATCGGAGGAGGAGGGAGAGGGGGGAGGAGGGGGGAGGAGGAGGAAGGAGGAGGGGAGGAGGAGGAGGAGGAGGGGAGGGGGAGGGAAGAGGAAGAGGAGGAGGGGGATGATGAGGAGGATGGGGAGGAGGAGGAGGAGGAGGAGGAGGAGGAGGAGGAGGATTTTTTTATTTTTACACGGCCATGACTGACACAACGTTGGTGCCAGTAAAAGAACCTCTGGCGGTGACTGAGCGGGACGGGCCGCACGGACACGAAAGGCGCCAGAGGTCAGTCGGAGTCACCTGACTCCACGGTGCTTACACGAGCAGCTTGCAAGGGAGCCTCGTCCTCCTCTTGGTGAATAAGCGTGCACTCACGCCTCGACTGCTCTCGCTCGGACGCCTCACCCTTTTCGTGGGGAATGGCGCCCTGCTGTGCACCTGGCCCTTCTTGTGGGGCAAAAAAAAAAACCTTCGAGATGGCCCGCAGCTCTGATGGTACCCGACGACGACGACAGGTCGACGACTTGATCTCTCTGCTGGGCACACTCAAGAAAGGGGCTCCACAACTGGAGTCTGCTCGGCAAAATGCCTTGTATGATGGAATCCTTGGTCCCCAGCAGCAGCGACGATGGCCGACGACGAAGACGACTGGTCGACGACAGTCTCGTGCTGCTGGGGATCCTCGCCCACCGCCTGCAGGTCCTCTGGGGACGCCTCAATCACGACTCCGTCGATCTTGGGATGGCGTCCCTTGAGCACTCGATACTTCCAACGCTCGAGATTGTTCCTCGTTGGGGCCCTGCAAACCTTCGCTAGCAGCGCTAGGGGGCCCAACGTAGATATAGCTTTGCACCTAACACAAATGAACAGCGGATATCGATCGCTGCAATCAAAACTCAACAACATGTGGCCTCTGGCGGCCACCTGTGGCAACGGCTCAGGCACCTTCCCCGTGCAACCTCCAGTTGACGGCGCATCGCTTTCACCGAAAACGAAGACAGGCCTGGGCCGACGTATCCTGAGGCATACAGCACACCTCCAATATGACCTATGCCATTCCCATTCGTGCTCAAAAGTCTCGGGGCCCGCGGGCTTCTGGCGGGGTTCTCTGGGGTTCAAGTGGACTCCTGTGAGATCCAGGGCGGGCCACTTGGGGAGCAAACGGGCCGCCAGCCTACAAACCGCACGAGAAACCTTGACTTTCCTGTCAACATCATCAAGCTGAGCCTTGGAGCCTGTGGGGTGGGCGAGCAGTCCTTGACGTGCGGCACGATCGGCCGCGTCATTCCCGAATTTCTCCCAGCGTTGCTGGGCAGTTAAATCAGGACTGTCTGCCACATGCGCTTTTACTTTCCTAACGGCAGACAGGTCGCACGATTGGGCAAATAACACGGTGCTTGAATATATATTTTCTTATTTGAGAACCTGGCCTCAGAAGGAAGCGCGAAGGTGCTGACCACATTCGCGCAATCCGAAAAAAAACCTTCCGAGGGGCCTCCTAGGTTCTGTGAGACCATGGCGGGGGCCGCACACTCTCCAGCTTGGGGGGTCTGGGGGAGCGGAGCCCAAATAGGCCCACACACCGAGCAGGTCTCCTGAGCGTCCTGGGTGACCTGTACATCGCCCCAAGTGGCCCTACTCAGCTCCTTGACAGGGTGTCTGGTACAGGACCCGCCCATGAAGATATATCCCTTAACCTGGCCAGGATCTACGACGTCTTCTCTTCCTTCGGGCGCGTGAGTGATAATACCTCCTTGCTGTCGTGGGCGTGGTAGCACATCTCCAGGGTGCTCAAACAGCCCCTTAGAGAAAAGCAGTGTTTCCTTAGCGTCCGATCGATCGATGCTTCTAGCCTGGGTGATCAACTCGTCATCGTCGACCAAATCCCTCCTATCATCGTCGACCGCACTGCACCCCCACAGACGGTGGAAGATCGTGTCGCGCGCTCCGCAGCCTAACGGACACTGAGCAGATGGCAGAGCGTACCCCAAGTCGAGCGCACGCTCGTTGGTCCACACCGCTCCGCACACCAGCGACTTGATACAACCCTTCTCGTAGTGTGTATACCGTGACGAACGAAGCTGTGACGTCACCACATCGTAACATACTCGACAAGGTACATTGTGAACTCTACCTGCCTCTCTTTCGAGCTGTCTCAAAACTCCATCGTGCAACATCTGTTTTATGAGCGCTGGGGAACATGACTCTAAAATGATGTCTTCTCCGAAATCGTTGACCATGACGCAGAAACTCTCCATGTCTCATTGGATCCTGAGGAGGCTGAGGTGGAGCGCTGAGAGGGGACCCGTGACCTTCTTCCAGGCGGGCACTCCTTTGGGGACCCCGTAAGCCGACCCCCAAGCTTCCCTCAAAACTCCGAACGACAAGGTATTAGGCGAGGATCTAACTTGGTTCGAGAAGACCTCCTTAGCGTAGCGCACCACTGGTGCCACTGATCCATACCACGATGGGCCCCCGTGCAACAACAACAGAGATGTGAGGGACCCCATGCCTGCAGACGGCCGTAAGATAGAGCCCACATCACGCCGAGCAGCCGCCACCTCGTGATCAGACTGGCCGTGCACTTCAGCTCCATAAGACAGGCCTGCTAGAGGCCCACTCGTGAAAATACTTCGGCCGTGCTTGCCCAGCACCTGCT